TTGTGTATGTTTTATTTAATCTATAAAACAGTTTCTTTGCTGTAAATAATTGTATTTTATGCAAAGCAAACCAAGTCACCAAAACAAGCCACATCAGTCTTTTTGCGACAATTAGATGTTTCATTTTTACTTCTAAATGTTTCATTTTTACTTTTAAATTTAATGCTTGTTGAGTTTAAATGTAAGAAATGTTGTATACATGTTTAAACGGTAAAATATGTTGTATTAGGAACTGTATTTAACTAAAAGGCATTTAGAGAAAGAAAGAAAGATAAAAAAAAGTAAAAATAAATGAAAAACTAAAACGAAACGAAACGAACAGCAGTTATTGAACACCTAACTAAAAATAATAATCAAAAATAAATAATAGTTTTCTAATCAATCTCAGCAAGCTTTAATTTTGTGTCGCTAGAGGTTTGCCTCAATAAGCTTAAATTAATTAGTTCTCAGTGCCGCCGACTTGCATTTCTTTGGTCAAATATAGGGTTGTGTATGTTTTATTTAATCTATAAAACAGTTTCTTTGCTGTAAATAATTGTATTTTATGCAAAGCAAACCAAGTCACCAAAACAAGCCACATCAGTCTTTTTGCGACAATTAGATGTTTCATTTTTACTTCTAAAATGCTTGTTAAACTTGTTAAATTTAATGCTTGTTGAGTTTAAATGTAAGAAACGTTGTATACATGTTTAAACGGTAAAATATGTTGTATTAGGAACTGTATTTAACTAAAAGGCATTTAGAGAAAGAAAGATTTTAAAAATGTCAAAATAAATGAAAAACTAAAACGAAACTAAACTAAACGAAACCAACATCAGTTATTAAACACCTAACTAAAAATAATAATCAAAAATAAAAAATCGTTTTCTAATCAATCTCAGCATGCTTTAATTTTGTGTGGCTAGAGGTTTGCATCAATGAGCTTAAATTCAAATGTCTTTGGTCTGCGCTCTGGAAGTGTTCTGTTAATTCTGCTAAACTTTAATTAATAAAACTAAAATTAAAACTGAAACTAAACTGTATAAAAATTAAATAGGCTATAAATCTGTTCACTAAATAAAAACTAAACTAAAATTAACAAAATGATTAATGAAACCAATAAAAGAAAATTGAAAGCGATATTAATATAAAAATGAATTTAAAAATGCAAAACTATAATAACCCTGACACGAACATCTTTCAATGGTGCGTGAGGAGGGGGATCCGCCAAATTAGGTTATCGGAATTCGGAGGTGCTGGACCCTGACCCAGCTTGTTCAAATTACACCCTGATTACGAATAGGGATTTTGGCTGTATGAGCACGGCTTGAACAGATTTCTATGTCTCTTAGTGAAAATGAACTACAGAGACTTGTGCTTTCCGTGTCCTGAACAACGTTTGTCGAGCTGCTTACCGGGAATTCTCCCAAATCTTCCTTTCCTTCCACTTCAGGCCTGTACATATACACTTAATTTGCTTTTGCAGCTATACTAGTGCATATATTATATATGTATATTTTTTTTACGTTGCAGTAGGAAAAAATATATAATAATCAGAAAACACGCCTGTGTCTGCTTTATTTTAATGCAGTTGTACCAATAAACAAAATCTCCTGTCTTTCACATGCATCTTAAAGATCGTGTTTAATTGTGAATGTGAAGTGGGGGTAGCACGGTAGGGTTTTGCCTAGAGTGGCAGTTGAGCTCACGCCGGCCCTGATGGCGGGACAGGCAGTCCAAGGAGCCATGGCAGATCAGGGAGCTCAAGGGGCCATGGCGGATCAGGGGACTCAGGAGGCCATGGCGGATCAGGAGACTCAATGTTTCTAAGATGGAAGAATGCTGTTTTTGTAACATGGGAAATATGATTTTCGAAAGACAAGTTGCTATCTAATATAACACCCAGACTCAGGAGGCCATGGCGGAGCAGGGGACTCAGGAGGCCATGGCGGAGCAGGGAGCTCGGGGAGCCATGGCGGAGCAGACAGTTCAGGAGGCTTGGCCTCTGTACACAGCCCAGCCTCCACAGACGGACCCCTACTACCCCCCCTCCCAAAAATAATCCTTGGGGAGAATGTCGTCTTTAGAGGCCCTCCGGAGGCCTAACTCGGGAACTGAGGCCCTCCCTGGGTTAAACTCGGGGACAGAAGTCCTCACTCATTATACTGTCCCATTTGACCTTATGTCCCAATTGCCCTTAAAGGGATAGTTCACCCAAAAATGAAAATTCTGTCATTAATTACTCACCCTCATGTCGTTCTAAACCCGTAAGACCTCCGTTCATCTTCTACAACACACCCAAAGTACCAATTAGGCCTATTGAATTTTCACCAACTGATGTGTTTTCTATCTAAGTTTGATAAAGATTAGGTTAGAATTACCAATATTTATCAGAATATATATCACATTAATGTTATTAAGTAAACACTATTTCTGTAAAATTGGTGGTTCAAATTATTAATTTTACCATGGTGAGTAAGTAGAGGGTCAGGGCCAGTGCCACCCTTACGAAAATTAACCATGGTTTTATTATAGTAAGTGTAGTGACCATGTTTTTCTTGGCGTAGTAGGCTATTGACTACCATTTGTATAACCACAGTTGTACTACAAATACCATGGTTGAACTATGGTTTTATTTGTAGTAAAACCATGGTTCATTTTCGTAAAAGCAAGGGGGGAATTCTCTGGCTTTGTAGTTTTACATGACCATTGAGGAATTTTAACCAAAGTATGTTGCCGACATTTCATGAAAACCCTAAAGAACTTGTGGAAAATGGGCATCCGATGTCCCCTTTAACATCTCATCTGAGAATGGCAAAGATGAAACCACCACACTCATGTCCTTCGAATTCTTCTGCTATACTGCTGATATCTGAAGTGACCGATTCTCGAGACACGATGATGTACTTCCCAGGTGTATTCAGCTCATATTTTTTTTATTTCATAATAAAGCGTTGAATTCTAGGTGACATCATGTTAGTTCTTTTGAATAATCAAGATCAGTGGTTTATGATCTGTCTGGACTCTAAAAGTAGGTAATCCATAAATATATCCATGAAATATATTAATAAATAAATATAAATATATTTGTGAGTAGTGGCTACCGGTCTCCAAGAATCCCCTATGGCCTGAAGAGGCAGCCTCCACTCCATCCTGAGAGGCATCTGTAGAGATCCTATTGGTAAGGATCTCCTTTAACCTCCTCCATTCTTGATCATGTACACACAAACTCTTTGTCATATTATAACAACTTCCTCATATGTGTGGTTTTAGCTGAAAGATTTGGAAAAATCATACGCAGACTCCCCTTCTTCTCACTAGGTGGAGGCATATCAAAGAGGGCTTTTCTTGTAGCAGGATCTGGCTCCACTCCTTTTGCAAACAGCGTGTCACCTTAGAATGTTATGTCTGGACACTTTTTCTTCACTTTTACTTTCTCTTTAGATAATGTGCTCAAATTCTTTCCTTCAGTTTTAAATGTCATTGATTATGTTGTTGAAGGGTAGACCCCTTCACCACCATATCATCAATATAGACGTGAACACCCTCTAGACCTTCATTCGACAACACTCTCTCATGCAAATGCTTCCCATGAGAGTTTGTCTTGGCGTGAATGAGAACGCAACCCCTCCAGATGGCTGACAGCTCAACATACCTTTACAAATTCTGTTGCTTTTATATATATAAACAATACATATTATGTACAACACACCCAAAGTACCAATTAGGCCTATTGAATTTTCACCAACTGATGTGTTTTCTATCTAAGTTTGATAAAGATTAGGTTAGAATTACCAATATTTATCACAATATATATCACATTAATGTTATTAAGTAAACACTATTTCTGTAAAATTGGTGGTTCAAATTATTAATTTTACCATGGTGAGTAAGTAGAGGGTCAGGGCCAGTGCCACCCTTACGAAAATTAACCATGGTATTATTATAGTAAGTGTAGTGACCATGTTTTTCTTGGCGTAGTAGGCTATTGACTACCATTTGTATAACCACAGTTGTACTACACCATGGTTGCTGACAGCTCAACATACCTTTACTTGAAACCCAAATACAAAACATATCAGAGAGGAGCAGAACAAAGCCAGAATCAGTCTTCCCGCTTTCTCAACTTCCTGTTTGCATCCCCTCCCCCTCTCATCTGTCCCCTCTCCTTCTCGATTTTTGAGGAAGAAGCTTTTTTGCATTCCTTGTTCTTCAACATGTGTCCTGTGTGATTCTTCAAATGTTTGTTGTGATTTCTCCATGTTATTCTGGGATCCAAGAATGTTTTTTTTTTTTTAACGGCATTTCATAATAAAGGTGATTCCTTTACATCAGGGGTGTCAAACTCAATTCCGGTAGGGCCACAGCCCTGCAGAGTTTAGCTCCAACCATAATTAAACACAACTGATCCAGCTAATCAAGTCCTTCAGGCTCAATTGAAAACTACATGGTTTGTGTGTTGGAGCAGGGTTGGAACTAAACTCTGCAGGGCTGCTGCCCTCCAGGAACTGAGTTTGACACCCCTGCTTTACATGCTACTTAAACATCTAAATATTTTTAATAATGATTTTCCTTTACATGTCATGTACCGTCATGGGTTTGTGGGAAGGACTGTATTTAATGTAGGCCTTTTGCATTGGTCTTTCATAATCTACTACATTATTGGAAAAGCTGAAACAATTACATTTCAAATGTAACAATACAATTTTTGTACATCGTATTTTTAATGCATTGTCATTCAGTCTACAGTTACAAGGTTATTTATAAATGTATAATATAAATTTTATAGACGAGGTAGAGGTTAGGAACAATTACAGTGAACAGTCTTGGCACAGCACCTATGACATTTCAAGTCCTGCTAGTTATTGCTATACTCCCCATTTTGGATTTATTTTATCCCTCCACACTCACATGGACTGAGACATGCCAAAAAAAAGTCTGTAATTCCTGTCTTTTCATGCATTATATATTATAATATTTTACACTTTTTTACAATGCATGATATTGTCAATCAGCCTTCTCTTACTTGGTCAAAACATCTTTATTTTTAGTCCGTTGCATGTGTAAATCCCAGCATTTCTCCTTTTCTCACTTCATCAGTCCACTGGCCGTCCTCAGGCATCTCTGTTTAGTCTCCAGACGATGAGGCCCCCCAGCAGTACTCCACTGATGAATAAGACTCCACAGGAGAGGGAGTTCAGGCTAGATGAGGAACCAAAATCTCGCTCAAAGGAGTAACGAGCCAAGGAAGAGATACTGTTGATCTGCAGGTATTTAAAAGAGTGACTATTACTGATGCGTCTTATCAATGATATGCTGTGTTGGTACAAGTGCTGTCATGTTTATCATATCATACCCATCCTCCCCTACTGCAGATCCAGTTCAGTAGGTTATCCCTGAAGTAATCCAGTGTCCAAGACACAACGCCTGAGACAAAATCAGCAAGAATCTATCCATGCAAAACAAAAAACAAGCACAGATGAGTTAAAGTCCAACCTTAGAGCATTAAAACTTAGGTTTGGGCACTGAAACCCTACAAAAGAATGTTGGCATTACACATTTATTGTGAAATGTGTAGGAAGTGAGCTGGTTTGAATGTATCCTGACCTGTACCTCATAATTTAAATTTGTACTGCATTTTTTAATCCTATATAGAAACACACACAAACAAATGAAAGCAGGTAAAATAAGGAAAGCACTTGCATACCTTTGCAATGGATTTCCCAACAACACAGATCAGAGTAACAATTTTCCCCCAGGTGATGTCATCAACAAACACTTTGTCTACAAGCATCTGGAAACTCTGTCTATCCGCCACACGTGAAAACCCATCAACCATGCTGAAATTAAACACATCTTTAATAAAACAGATTTGCTTTTTCATTATACCGGTTTTATTGTTAGGTGAACTATCTCTTTAATTCTCACTACTTTATTTCTTAAGCTATAATAACTTTAACATTAATATTTTTACTCAGAAGCTATCTTCCATAATTATTACATACAGTAATACTCTCGCATAAAAGACATTTTGATATCGATACTAACTCGTTGAATCTCGGCTCTCGATCGAGAGAGTCGCCGATGACTCTGATAACGTTGGCCACCTGGTCCAGGAGCTGCTCCCGCTCAGCACTCATTAGCTGCGGTTCAGGAAGAGACGGTGCACCTGTTCCCGCTCTCTGTACCTGGTCCTTCACTGACCTGAGAACATTATTTGAATTAAACGAATGACATGTACTGATTATTACTTTATTAGTGCTACCCAACGTGAATGCAAATGAAAATGAAAATGCCACAACGAATAAACATGGCATCCAGGTAAACAGCCTCTGGTTGTTAAGTTACTTTATTGGTTATTTGGGTATTCTTTGTTAAATATTATATTTAAAAAAGTATTTAAGTTATAAGCACGATTTAAATATGTATGTGAAACTTACCGAAGTACAAGATTCTCTGAAAACTGGTAATCTAAAAGATTGATACAAAATAAAATGTTACTATTGGATGCCATTATACTAGAGCTCACGTTAAGAAATAATGACAAAGGCCTGTTTCGACAGAGTTATATATCCTACCTAATTCCATGAGCGCTTTTTCTTTCTTCCCCCTTGGTCCTATTGATTTGATAGCCACTTCACAAACCACAATGAAACTGTATCTATGTGTGGCCTCTGCCTTTACGTCAGTGCTATAGTATAAACATATCGCAGACCTAACTGGTTTAATAAGTCTTGCTTTCCAAATCAGATATATTAAAATTGTTGTGAGTTCCGCATTTTCGCTGCTAGCGTCGCACTAGGCTAAGTGAAAATAAAAGCGAAACAAACAAGAGCGGTTTGCTTAATTCCCTTGCATTTCTCCACCCAAAACAATTCTATATTTAGCAGCCCTCCTCAAACTATAATGTAGCTCAGAAAAAACGCTCAGAAAAAAAAGAAAAAAAAACTCTCTCGGTACAAATGCCTATATTTTACTATTTTATATTTTATTACAGAACCATCAGGCATAAAAATGCATGTAATATATTTCTCTCTCTATATATATATATATATATAAAACCTTTTCACATACAAATTATCGTGACTTTAATCACATTCGATGCAAAATATTTAAATGAACAAAAGAGAGGACAAGCCAGATTATACAAACCACTATTGTACATGTGTCAATTATCAGTAAAAAGCTTATAGGCTCAGTTTTATTCCAACAATCTGTCCTGATCCTGAATAAACATGTAGGCCTACCCTTCTTTAAATCAATATGACCATATTCAGTGTTTTCTACAAAACAGTATAAATACATATAAAATAAAGGCATATTACAATAAAAAAGGGGGGCAAATTACAAAATGCAGATTTAATATACATGGTTTTGCTCAAGTTCAACATTATGGACACTTCTGTTGCAACATCTTCATTTTCTTCCTCTTAGCTATTTCTTGGAAATTTCGAGATGATGAAGCCACCTAGCAGTAGGCCACCAGTGAAGGCCAATGCGGCTCCAAAATAGGAAGAATATTTACTAAGTGAAGAACCAGAAAATTGCTCAAAGGAGAAACAGGCCAGCGCAGGGATACTGTGCATCTGTATTAAGGGGTACAAACAAAGGAAATTTCATAGATATGACATTGTGATCAATACAGTTCAACACATCTTTCTAACAACATTAGAACAAGATTAAAACAAAAGTCAAATGCTTCTTCATATTCCAGTAGGCTATTTGAGACAATAATGTAAAAGTGTGTCTTCATTGTTTCTTACCCATCCTCCCATTTTGCGAATCCATTCCAGCAGAGTCCTCCTGAAGTAATCCAGACTTAAGGTCATAATGTCGGAAACAATTGTGGGCAAGCGTGCAAGGACCATCTATTGAGAGGAAAGAGGTATAAGTTATATGCACAGATATAAGCATAAAGATGCAGGTCTACAAACAACAGACATATTAACATAAATTTTAAAGGGGCCATGAACTGAGAAATCAAAACTCCCTTGATCTTTTTATATATATAAGAGGTCATTGTACTATAAAAACATCCTGTAAGTTTCAGAACTCAGAACTCTGTAATTAGTCTAAAAACAGCTTATATTGAAGCCGAAGTGTGGCTAAACTCCGCCTCCGCAGAAGAAGATCAATGCCTGCTTCTACATTACTGCCTGTTTAGCCCCGCCCACCGATTCGCGCATGTAGTGTAAATAACAAGAGACAAACGCATGTCTACACAGAAACCAAGCAATAAAGATGGCTCCGAAGACAACAAGACGCTGTGCAGTGCCAAGTTGTAGTAAAACAATCTTTGCATCGGGAGGTTAAAAACAGGACAGAAAATAGCCTATTACTGCTAAATTATGTTTTTTGTTGTAAAAATCTTGATAACATTATAAGTGGATGTCAGAGAACAGTACAAAATAATAAAAAAGGCAGTTCATGACCCCTTTTAAAAGACAAAAGAAACATGCAGGATCTAACTAATCCAATACCTTTGCAGACAGTTTTCCAACTGAATAGAACAGCACTATAATTCTCCCCCAGTTGATCTGGCCATCTGTGAAAACCTTTTCCACAAGTTCCCAGAAACTTCTCTTATCAGCCACTTTTACTAAGCCATCAATCATGCTGTGAGGTCAGAAGAACAGAAAGTGAAACCTGGCGTTTTAAAACCAGTATAGACAGCAACACTGATGTTTAGTAAAAATTCTAATCTCAGACTGACTCATTGAATGCTTTATCCTGATCAAGTCTATCACCGATCACTTTGATGGTCTCCGCCAGCTGTTCAACAAGCTTCTGGTCCTGGCTGTTGCTTATTGGTCGAGCTTCGGGAAGGGCTGGTGGGGCTGCATGTATCTCAGCTGCTACACTCATCACCTCATCTCTTACCACCCTGAAAGAAATGTATTTGTTAACTGCATATGAGTCAAATGTTCATAGCGATATAACAGATTCACAATTACCTCCAATAAACATGAAAATTTTAACACTAATAATTTCATTATGACTTTCCTCAAATGACATTCACGACGGCATGAAACTGTGCTCGGATTCCAATTACAGCCAACATTACATTACAATCTAGCCACTATGACATTTAGATTTTCCAAAATGATTTGATTGCTACTAAGCATAGTAGATGTTCTACAAGGTATATTAGGTATATTATAATCTCACACAAATCCCACGATAAATTACATTTTTTACAGTGTCTGTTTTAATGAGTGGGTTCAAGTTCTAAATAATGAATGAATAAAAATTTTACAGTCAACATTATCTTTATTACATGTTTTTTAATTGTAACACTTAATGTAATCTTCTTAAAATTATGAAAATATTTTAATTTTTCTTACGTTGTCTAAAGTTCTGTCAAATATGTTACTAACTGGACAACCCCTGCAACTACAAGATATAGTAGTCAACATTTGAAGTGGATCAAAAAGTTCCTTAAAGTTGTCCTAAGACAAGAACACATTTTGGTTTTAGGTTTTAGGACAACTTTGATGAAAGGTTTTGATCCACTTCAAAGGTTCAAGTGTAGTTTATCACAACAACATGCGACCAGCATCATAGCCTATGCTATTTTCTTTAATGGTGGACATTTTGATCACATTATTGTAAGTGTCCACTCCCCCCACCCCCCACCCAAATACAATAAAGGAGGCCTACTGTTAACTATTGTATGTTATCTGCCAATTCTTAGATACCGATATAAAGTTGGTTCGACATTTGACGTTGGATAGGCCTATTAGACAGATATTCAGCTGCGAAAAAATTCAATAAATTCTTAGTGGATGAGTATAACTGTATAAAAAATGGCTTATCTGAAAAGCATTAGAACGTAAAACTGAACACACATCGCAGTTTATTTGTTTTAATCCTCCTCAATATGTTGCAACGCATAAAAGTCTCTAGCAGCGGCGTGCTAGCATGTAGGACAGGTGAGATGGTCCTCACTGCAGAACACAAGATCCAGGGGGCGTGGTTGGATCTAGATTCAACTCCTCCCACCTTACATATACCTAACCCTACCCGTCTCCACCCCCTGATCCCTAAACCCACCCATCTCCACCCCCTAGATGTGGATCCAACCCCACCCCCTGGATCTTGTGTTCTGCAGTGAGGGGCTACTGGGCCAAGTAGGGACCGTCTACAAAGTACATGTAAAGTATAAAACAATTAATGTTTTCCCACCGGAATGTGTTTTACAATTAACAAAACAAGAGTAATTTTTGTGAACCAAGGTCTTTGAAAAATATAAAGACAAACGCTCACTTGAATTTAAATAAGAAATATTGTAAACAAGAGATGTGATAGTGGTTATTATTATATTATTACTATTAATAAATATATTAATAAAAGAAAAACAATATTAAAAATCATTATCATTCCATAATCCAGTGGTTATGCAGTAGGCTGATTCCAGGTCCTTGTGAAAACATTTTAATGTTCATTATATTCACAGAAGTATGACACCAAAGAAGTACACACTATTGAAATTTAAACCATTAAATAAATGTATTTAAAATAAATACACTCTTCTGTATCAACTTCATGGTGTGTGTCTTGTTACTGTTTTCATAAGAACATTTTTATATTGGTTTTAGTCACAGAACTGTAGCAGAAAACATGCTATTGAAATACAACAATTAAGACAAAGTTGGCAAAGTGTTTTGCAGTTGTTTTGACTTGAGTTTGAAAATCTAATTTTTAATAAATTAATTTATAACACAGTTTTATTACACAACTTCAAAGGGTGTCTTGTTACAGATTAGACAAACATTTTGATGGTGGTTTTAGCCACAGAACTATAATTGAACACATACTATAGAAAATTAAACCAATACATAATTCAGTTTAAAATAAATACAATCTTCTACCTCGGCTTCAAAAGCTGTGTCTTGTTACAGATTTCTTAAAGAAAATTTTCCAGTTGTTTTCATTGTCAAAAGAGATGCAGAAGTCACGCTATTGACATTCAAG